AAAGTCACTGATATCATCAAATCAGTGGTTTACCTGTGGGTGAAGAATAGGGGGAACAATGACAAGTTAAATTGGGCATCCTGGTCTCATTGCCCTTTGCTTTTCTGAATTTTTTCTTTGTTTTTGTTTTACAATTCCTGTTTCTTTTCATTTCATCGTATTTTGAACTCTTGTTTGCCACTAGCTGTGGCTTTCTTTTTTCCTCTTTATATATCATTGGTCGGGTCCAAAAAAAGACTATTGATCAAATCTTTCAAAAAGTGGTTATTAATAAACAAATAAATGCGATTAGTTAAAGTGGGTAACTAATAATGAAGGTTAGGCAGCATAGATCATAGATGAAGGGTCTTGTGCCCACTACACCTATGCTTTAAGAATTAGACTTCACCCAACCTTTTTAATTTTTTTTTTCTTAGGGTTGTCACATGGAGATGCCCATAAGCTATTTGGTCCCATTTCCCATTTAGATATGGCTAATTAATTGTCATTTAAACTTTTTATTACTATAATTACATGTTAGTTACGAATTAATGATCGACTTCATGTTAAAGGTGGGTGGGTGTGCTTTTAAACTAAACAAATATCTTTTTTGACCAAGCGCAATATAGAACCTTGGGATACAAAAGGAGCCATCTTTGTCCTTGGAGTGCTAGAAAACATGTAAAAATCACCCAACAGAAGAAAATTTTATACAAAATTAAAAAAATGGATTTTTAAAATACCGAATCAAAAGTTGATATAGATCACTATTTGAAATGAAGAGAATAAGGATCAAAAGATATTAAGAGTGATAAAAACATAAAGAAAATAGCTAGAATTTTATTATCGAAAGTAAAACTAAAATTACAAACAAAAGATTATAAATATTAAAATTACTTAGGGTCAATTTAGTTAAAGACGAACAATTTTTTTTCAAACTCGTCAATAATAAATATTGAAAATTTGTCAGACAATAATTAAAACCAAGAGAATAGTCGAGCATTCGTAAAAATATCAACGATCTGCAAGGTCGATGGAACAAATGGTAGCGAGATGAATCTGATGTGTAGATGATGACGAGAGAAATGACAATAAATCTTAACATGCTTTGTCTGCCCATGGCATACAAAAGTATTTGCAATCCGAATCACATTTTTGTTGTCACAATGTAAATGAGTTGGCTCATAAACATCAACACCCATATTTACAAAAAACCAACATAATCGGACAGTTTCACAAGAAGTCATGACCATAACATGATACACTAACTCTATTTAAGGCGTAGAGACAACATCACATTTCTTACTTATCCATGAGATAAGTGGATCTCCAAGAAAAATACAGAAACTAGTGGTGGATTTGCGACCACTAGCATCGTCATCACAATTAACACCATTATATGCACGCAAATCTAGAGAAGATATCGGAGGAACTAAGAGACTCTGAAATTGAGTGTCATGATGAGATCTCAAAATACGACCAAGTCCTAGCGAATAGTACCATAAGCTGCCAAACTAGCTAACCACATGAGTTATGTCCTAATTAGTCACCGTAACAAACTTCCCAAAATAGTATGACACATGCTTAAATTTGGTAACAGAACATCATCAGTTGGAGAATATCGGGTATTGGTTCCAAGGAGTATGTCAATAATCCTATTGTTAGATATTAGTGCACATTCAAACATATCATATATGTATATCGTCTTAGAAGAAAACCCTTTTGAGATTGAACAACCTCAATACCCAATAAATAATGCAACAAACCAAAATCTTGCATAGCAAAATGATGAGCCAAATCACTCTACAAATACTCATTGTCATCACAATCATCACCAGTAATAATCATGTCATCCATATACAAGGATAAGAGACATGACATTCACTTATGCATCAAACAAACAATATCAAATCGTGATTACAATGAATGAAACCAAGAGAAATAAGCATCATATAGAATTTCTCAAACCAAGCATATGGTGCCTGTTTGAGACCATATAACGCTTTCAGAAGCCGATTAACTTCAACCGCTAGTGAGTAAATACTTGGAGAAGGAATCATGTGCACTACCTCATAAATATCATCGTTCAAGAATGCATTCTTAACATCCATTTGGAATATCTTCCACTGATGAAAAGATGCAACTATTATCAGAGTATGAACTGTCATTATTTTTGCAAATATAACAAAAATCTTTTCATAATGAATACTATAAAATTTGTGAGTATCTTTTTGCAACAAGTCTGGGCTTGTACCGTTCAATTAGCCCGTCAGACTTGGATTTATTATTATATACCTAATAAGAATTGATTGTATGCTTTCTTTGTTGCGGACCGAACCAGATTTTACATATTACTTTGGTAAGAGTTGTAAGAACCTTAATCAAAGCATCTTGCCAAAGGGGATCAAAAACAACTTTTCTATAGGACTTGGCTTCTGAAAGTCGATGTACATTGGAAATAAAGGAAGCAAATGAAGATCAATAAGAGGAGTAAGGAGGTGACATTTTATATGTTTATGACATTAGATGTTTTGGGCATTCAAATCTCTATTATGGCATCCTAGTCGACTTTTTATACAAGCGGCATTGATTTGCGCCCAAGATTAGATAAGTAGATCAAAGAAAACATTTGTAGATATGGACAACAACAAAGACATTTTTAAAGATGATAACGTCACTAAATATAATAATTTCATATTATTATTATTATTAACTATTAATAAAACGTTAGTTATATACTCATTTTCAGATTAATTTTTTTTCCGGTATATAAGTGATACACAATCAAAATGGAAATAAAAAAGGCTAAGAGATTATCGAGTAGTTAGATTTTTTTTTGGTAAATGATTATTGGTTTGTAAGTAATACTTCTTTTGAACTTAACATGTAATCAAATTTATAATGTAAATGAAAATTTTTAGTTATGACCAATATTAAATAGAAACTGAGCAAGGTAGAGTGTTCAAGTCGGCAATAACAATTTATACGATCAATATTTTATTTTGAATTATAATATTTGAAATGTATATTTGCCTGATTATCAATTGTTCTACATTACTTTTGTATGAATATTTAAAATTAATCAATAATAATTCCCTTTTTAAGTCGAAACAAGCTAATTCTCATGGCATTGTCCTCAAATTTGAACACATTATCCAAAAATCATTACACAATTGTTTGTAGGATGTAAATCACAAATCAACATTCCCAATAACGCTTTGGGCCAATGGTTTTGACTCAAAATCATTGATTTCTTTTCTTAATATTTTTAGGGTTGGTTAAAAAAACACCCTATTTTTACTATTTATTCACTTTATTTTAATTTTTTAAATAGCACATGATTATCCACATCAACATTAAAACCATACTTCGTTATCATTCACTAAAATATGCCCTAACCCTTTCCTCCAACCAACCACTTTTCACTTTTCATTTATTTGTCCCCGTGTTTTTTATATGAACCATGGTATGTATAACATCATCTGGATTAGATCTAGTGTTTTCTATATGAACCATGATATGTATAACACCATCATCTTGATTAGGTCTACAGTCAAATTAGGTTGTACTGTCTGAATTGAACTATTGTACTGTCTGAATTGAACTGTTTGAATTGAACTATTGTACTGTCTGAATTGAACTGGTGTCGAGACTAGATCAAGTTGTCTTGTCTGAATTGAAATGTTGTCGAAACTAGATCAGGTTGTACTATCTGAATTGAACCGAAGACGAGACTGATATCAATTTGACAAATATTTTAACTTCTTTCTCTATCAAAAATTTGATTTCTTATCTATGCAAAAGGAATAAATATCCTCCTTCCATCATCACGAGTGAAAGAAACCTACCAAATTTGTTTGTCGAGACTAGTCTTATCATGTCTAAAAAATAACAAAAACCAAATCTAAGACCTAAAATATTAAGGCGAGTGGAGAATTTGACCTCATTTTTAATAGAATCTTTTTTTATTATTAAATAATTGAATATTCCTCCATGGAAATAATTGATTTGATAATGAAGGGTAGCCAGCTATGTTGGCCCTTAAGTAGTGCAAACAACCAAAGGACAAAACTTTTAGGTGTTCAGAAATGTAATGCATGCATTACCATTCTCTCACCAATAATAAACACAAAACAACAGTTTCATCTAAATAATATTACAACACACTTCTTTTTTTAACAAAAATCATTGTTTTTGTTCATTAATTAACACAAAGTTCCATTTTGCTTAAATGTAAAACAAATATTTTAGTTTTGGAAAAGAAAAAAATGGTTGAAAATATATGTTGAGGAATGAGGATATGTGAGAGCATAGTGAATTATTAAAAGTAATGAAAGTGAGATGTCAAAACAAAAGAAGCATATAAATCCAAAAGCTAAGGATATAGAAAGTGGTGGTGGGCTATAGAAGAATTGGCCAGCTACAGCTACAAACAATGAAGAAAAAGATACCCTAAAACCCCAAAATTATATCCACTCACTTTTCACTAGTAGCAAATCTGGCATTTCCTTTGGATTCTTCTCAAACAAATCTGAGCCCACTCACTCTAACCCTAATCTCATCATCAAGAATCTATCACTTTTTGGGTAAGTCCATCCACAACAAGCTCAATTGCACAATTGCATACACATTGATGCTGATTGTTGCATATCCACATACATTGTGCCCAAAAATTCGATTCATCCATTTTCATATTCATTGATTATCATATTATCATATTTTATCTATTTGGCTAAAGTCTCTTTCTTGATGCTATTGCTAGCTTTTAACGAAATGATAATGCAAATGTGGAATGAGACATTTGAATTTGTAACAAACAGTGAGATGGAAATTGGGAATTTGGGATGATGAGATGGAAATTGGGAAGTTATTAGTTTTAAGTTTTAAGTTTTAACAGCTAGAATTATTGATGTACATTAGCAAGATAAGGGAACTCGAAAAGATTAACACTATATGCATACCATTTATGGAAGTTACAGTAACTAGAAATTTACTAAGGAAACTGACCGGTGGAGTAACAGTTAGAAGGAATTCATTTCAAGGAGATAACTCCGGCGTTTAATCAGCTTCTCCACGGCCTCTCCATAGACGCCGTCAAACCTACTACCGGCAGCCACCAATCCTTCATCCCACCTCTGCTCCTCTTCTGCTTCCTCCGTGGTGCCATTGACCACACCAATTGTGTTCATTGTAGGTCTCACGACTACCAGTGTCGCACCTTCCATTGTTATACCGTTGGATAGCTCCAATTTTGCCTCGTGTCTCATTCTCATCCAGACGGCGGGCACTCTTGTTCGGTTACTTCTCCACCATACACCACCGGCATTTAGGTTACCGTTTTGTGCTTCGTCTTCGTCTTGATTTTCTCCTTTATCTTCTCTAAACTCTTTGATTCCTGATTCATCGATAATCACAGTTCCTTCACCGTCCCTATCTTTGATTATCAATCTTGACAAGTGTAGGTTTTCCTTGACAATTTCTTTCACCATGTAATGCCTCGCAGACGCCGCAATCAACGCGCTTATCGTCCAAACGACTCTCGTCTTCAAACCGCCGCCGCCGCCAAGATCCGATTCCCCTACGCCGCCACAACGATGTCCTAAGATCACGCAGCTCCTCAACGTCTTCCCAAACTCTGCCTTCCACTTGATCCCCGCTCGTTTCTCTAACCTCAGATCTCCCGTCGGCAGCTCGATCTCAAGCTCTTTAATCCTCTCAAATCCACGAAGGATCATCGCCGGAGAGTTTTGCGATTGATGGTGATTGCTATTGCTTTGTAGCGAATGATCTTGAGGAGGAGAAATTAGGTCCTGGATTGACTTGACAATGGATTTGATGAAGCCTATGACGGATGAGGCGTCTCCGTCGTCTTCGGAGTCAACTGAGGAGATAACTCGGTCGACTCGGAGGAGGAGCGAGTCCGTTTGGGGTACAAGTGTGTTGAACCGGCGTGACACAGCACGGCATCGGATTAGGGTTTTAATATCAGAAATATTGTTGAAGATTATGAGTATGATTGGGTCTGGGAGGCAATCGAGGCCGTCGGTGGCATTTTCCGGCAGCGATTCCATCAAGGAAAGTGATACTGGCCGGAAAGAGAGAGACGGATAGACGGAGATGGGAGGTGGAAGACCAGTGAGCATTGAGGAAGCCATAGATTTGACCGTTGACTTTTTATAGAAGGGGGAGAGAGGGACTTATTCTAATTGGGTAATGCCGGCTTTCGATACTTATTGGAACTTATTCCTTACCAATTTCAAATAAATAAATAAATATGTAACTACTTGTTTTTTATAAATAAAAATAATCTTTTTCTCTATAAAATCTATCAAAAATATTAACCCTAACATTTACAAACAAATCAGAAGAATTTTATAATCAAACATAACGTGTAAATGTTAAACTAATTTTTAGTTTAGTTTATAAAGTGGCTTATCATTAAACTATCTAGAATACAATATTATATAAATTAGATAACCACTTATCGTGTTAAATGCAGCCAAATAACCTATTTATCAATAATATCGATAAACAAGCTAGCTTTACAACTAACTTATGCATATTAAATACAACCTAAAGCAAAATAGATATGTTAAATTAAATGCCCAAATCAAATTAGATGTGTTAAATTGAATAAAGAGTGAAAGAAATACAATGTAGCACATGCATATAATAAATAATCTAGTTAATATTATACATCCAATAAACAAATACTACGTGACACTACACAACAATCCACCATATATAAATCAATATGTTCTAAGTTTTCTACTTTTCTAATAAAAATATGTTGACACCATAGGGTACATCACTTGTCTATTGTACCTTTCATGGGTGGTTAAGTTCTTGGGCATCAAAGATTATATAAACAATGTGTGTCATAATGCATATGTCGACACAATACAATATAAAAATAATTCGATTACCAAATATCTCAATATGAAATAAACAACTAATACTTCATGAAATTGTGTCGAAACACATGTACATCATGTTGAGTGTAATGAGTCTTAAACAACAAATGCTTGTTTTGAAAATTATAAAAATGGTTGAAACATGTTATAATCGAAAGATACGTGTTGGGAAAGTATTCAAGGTTTTTATTTTAAGTTTTCTTAGTTGTTAAGGATTTTTTTTTTTAAAGTCGCAAAAATTAATTTTTTACAATATCAAGTCCTGTTGTAAGAAATCAATCCTCACAAGTACAATTCGAAACCTAAATCAAACTTGGAATTGTGTAAACATTTATGGAGTTCACATCAAATTAAATATAAGTAACTCAAAGATCAATTTAAGTTCCTAAGCCTATGGTCCGATTGTTGGAGTGAATAGTAGAGATAACTCTCTCTCCAAAATATGACAAGAAAATAAACACACATTTTGCAAAACGCTATCTGAAAAATGATGAATATATAGTCAGATACCCTAGCATGCATATACACATGGTTACGTATACTTGTAATGAGATCTTGAATGTGGGAAACAATATCAAGCACCTTTTGTCATCTGGTGAAAAGTACAATCACTTTTCAGAAAAACACGGTTGCGACTGTGCAAACAGTTCACTATTTTTGTATTTGATATTGTATATCCCATGATAATTCTTTGCAAAAGATCTTATGGAAGATGTGATACCATAAATGCTCATTTGTACATCAATTTTGCCTTTAATATGAACAATCTCTTGACATACAAGAAACTATTCTACATTATATGATGTCTTATTGACGTTGCTTGTGACTTAAAATCTTCAATATATAGTTATAAGTATGTATCAACTTTGACTTGCAAAGAGTTTTCATAAATCCTATGAACAATCTATCATGTCTTCGTTCTATCATTTGATTTCAACTAAGTCCTGAAACGGCTTGTCATAAAATCTCGTAGTTAGTTTGTTAGGGGTGTTTGGTTTAGCATTTTAGAGGCCAAAAGTCATTTTTAGAAAAGTTGTAAAAAGTTAGGTATTTCTGACTTTTCCAATAAAATTGATGTTCATTCTATCCAAAATCCAAAAGTAGCTTTTAAAAATCTTTTCCAAACATCTTTTACCTTTGATATATTCCTAAAAAGACTTTTAGGCTCTCGAAAGCTAAGCCAAATACCCCCTTAGGCTTGTAAAGATATTGGTTTTTACAAAATAACATGTTATTGTGTTGCTGTCATCATCATCACTTATCATATTTATGACAAAAATATATGATATTTGGTAGCTACCAGCTAACCAAGTTGTACCAAACCTAGAGACAACCTTATAATAAATATTTCTTCCATCTTTCATTAAGCTTCTTCGCTTATTATATAATATATTAATTTTGAACTCTTTATCTTTATCCAGCAGGACTTCCATTTGATTGACTTTTTTTTTGCTTTGTTTTTTGGTGATTATATATATATATATATATATATATATATATATATATATATATATATATATATATATATATATATATATATATTACTTAATAGTAGAGAGTGGGCATGCTTTCCATGGATCATAGCTACGAGTGTTCATTTTTTTTGTTGTGTCTATTTTTCTGTGGTGTTGTTCAAGATAGTGGTTGTTGGATAATACATATCCAACCCTTCTTCTCTACCGATTTATTCTCCAACAAGATGCCTACACAAGTATCATCCTCTTTAATTCTCCTTACACCACCGCTTTAATTCTTACGACCTTCCACATTCTTCCTTTCACCGCTCCATCTCTTTCTTCCTTCCATAGAAAAGCCCTACCTCGATACAGACAGGATATTGAGGCGTAACGTTGTTTATTGCTCAAACAAATGAGACTCCGGCGAGGGTCATGAGGTGCTCTAATAGCAACTCTTCTTGCCATTTGATCCTTCGATGAAGTGTGAGACGTTGATTTCGATGTCGATTCACCCCCAAATCTCTCTCTCTCTCTCTCTCTCTCTCTCTCTCTCTCTCTCCGTGTGTGTGGGCATTCGCGTAATTTTATTGTTGTTGATAATGTTGATTTATACTTCAGATGGACGAGGCAGTGATGATGAAATGTATCCTGAGCAAAATCGGATTTTGAAGACCGTATCTTGGTTGGGCAATCCGGAAGGCATTTTTTTATCTTTGGAGTTTTCTCTCTCTAAATTGACATGCATTGCAACTGCGATTGCAGCCATGGCGGATTGAAGCAACACAAACTCCATTACAATGGCTCCGAGCCTTTATTTTTTTAAATTTTCATAAGTAAGCATGGTGACTGTTTAGCAATTCCACCATTCTTATTCCACTTTTTTGCTACCTCTCCCTTTACACAAGGATTCAGGTGAATACCATCGACCTCAATTTGAAGCTCAAGATTACGGTTTTTTCGTTTGCTAGATTACGGTTCAATATTCATACAAAATGAAATATAAGAAATCGATGGTTATTGAGGAAAGGATAAAGCAGAGGGTCGTCATACACTCTGATACTGATACACATGCCTGGAACCATACCTGAGTGATTACAATTTTCTCCCTGCTACTTCATGGATTTATTACTCTAATATAGAATTTATTTGTTTGACATCAGTTTCTTTTGTACATGTTCTTTTTAAATAGAATCCAATCCATCTCCACAACTACCATCATCGCCGTCGAATAACCACCACTAGCTATTTGAGGGATTTTTAAGTGGAATCTGGGTTTTGTGTGGAAATTTTGTTTTGGGTTTAAAGAGCTTGAAATTCAACTTATTACCCATAACAGGTACTACTTCTTACAAATTCAACTCCAAACAAATCTTTGAATATATTAATGTTTTATAAATTTTCTTTTTAAAGTGATTTTGAAGGAAATCATAAATGCCTTGAAGCCAAATATAACATTCTATGTACATTCTAATGGGAGAGACTTCATTAAAAGGGTATATATTTTATATATGCTTATTTCTGTGCTCTAACACATGTCTGTCACATGATACAATTGACTATTTTTCAAGTTCGTGCTTTCAGAACGGATTGGGAACTACATGTGAATATACCAGTTGTTGGAAGTTGTTTCCTAATACATGTTCGAATGTCATCATTGTAGTTTGTTTTATGATTAATGTAATAAAATGATTTTTCTTGATAAATCTTGGAGCTTAACTTATTCCATGCAATAATTTGGCTTGATAAACCATTTGTCTGTTTTTATCAACTATGTTGCCTTTCTTGTGTGCAAATATGGTTGCATATTCGCATGTATGTTTTGAAACCTGAAATAAGAAAAAAAAATAGATTATTTTTAACCTATTGAAAATAACAATTTTGGTACTTTCTAAACTCCAACTGGCCTTCAATAAAGGTTGAATCTATCAAAATTTGCAGTTGCCACCTCATGAACCTTCTGTGGTTAAGAAAGTTCTCAAATATTTCTTACAGAAGCGTGAAAGTGGTATAACAATAATTGATGTTCGATGTGTTGCTGTTGATTTTCATGCTTGATATAAAGCTCAAGAGCGAACGTAGGTACCAATAATTATACTATCAAGATTTGATTATGTTAATATCAATAAGGTTGTAATCTTGCAATGATGAGGATGTAGGGATATTTACGTCTTTTAATCATAATGTGTACATGTAGCACCTGATTCTTGGTACGTATTTCTTTTTATTTTTATCTAAGTATTTTGCATTTTGGACTTGGACTCGGCGAGTTGAAGGACCAACTCGCCGAGTAGAAGCGGGATGGGATGCGTGGTTTAAGCAGTGGACTCGACGAGTTGGGTCCCGGACTCGACGAGTAGACCTTGTCTGGACAAAAACCCTAATCCGAGGGTTTGCACCCTATTCAAACAATGTTAAGTCGGCCACAACGTCCCTTATGCTCCCTAATACTTCTCATTGAAACCCTAGATGTTATTGAAGCAATATAAGCCTTGTTGGTGGATTTTGGTGTTATTGGTCTTAAGAAGGAAGGAGAAAAGCTTGAGGAAACGAGTGAAGGCCAAGGGAACCCGAGTTTGTGCACCTTCTACAGTTCATTGAAGGTAAAAAGTTGTAACCTTGCTCAGTCATTTGTTAGATCCCTCTTTGGGGAGATTTAGGGCTTTTATAAGCCATTTTTGGTGGCCAACCATGTTTGCAAACATGGTTGGGGGTTAAAGCTTCTAAATCACGTCATTAAAGGGGTCACTAGGCAGATTTGGGTTGCTTTTGCACCCATGAAAGGTCCCATGCATCATAGGAGCTTGTTTTATGTCTTTTTGAGCTCAAAGTCCCATGCAAGCACGTAAATTTTGTAACTTTCACTACTAGAAAAAAGCCCTTTAATGACGCGCAAACAATGACACGCGCTGATAGACGATACGCATTTGTGCGTGCCCTAAAAAATAATGTCAGTTTTGCAAAATATGAAGGATAGAGGGCACCGCATTTGTGCGTGCCCTAAAATTAGTGTCAGAAAAGAAAAAAAAGAAAAAGCGGAGGGCACCTTTCATAAAACGTGTGTCATCTAAGAGTGTCGCTTTATAATTTTTTAATGAAACACGCGTTTTAAGCGGGATTTCACCCGCCTATACTGGATCCCAAAAATTAAACCCCCCGCCTCTTCCGATTAGCAAGAAAAAGCCCTAGGGCGTTGGTCTTCATAGCAGCATCGCACCACCACCCAACCTCCGATCTCGCACCGCCAACTGTCTCCGACCATCTTCTCCAACCATTTGGGAGAAGTTTTTTCCAAACGTTTCAACATTTCATTACGTTTGACCAGCTTCTAAACCAATTTTCCCTTCCATCTTACAAAGACATCCTATTTTTCTTCTTGAGCAATTCCCCCCTTCTCCTCTAATTACTTTATCGGCTTCTCCCTGACTTACAACAAGAAAACCCTAGTTCTTTCCTTTAACTCGTCTTTGCAAAATCAAGCGCATACAACCATCATCTATGAGAGTACGTCTGTCTTCTTCCTCTTACAATCGCTAAGCCCTAACACTGAAAATTGAAAGTCAATTGACCCTCCGTTTGAAGAAAAAGGTAAGAATTTTCCTTTATTTATTCCATTCTGTTACTTTGACCTCATATTCTTCTGTTCTTCATCTTTTTTCTTCCAAATTATCAACTCTAGCCCTATACTGTGTTTTCTTTAAATGGAGAACTATTCAATTTAGGGCTTGATTGCAATTTTCTCCACGAAGCCCTTCTTCAGTAGTCAGCTTTTTCATCTTTTTTCTGAAGGACCAATGCCCTTCTTTAGTGATTTCAGGATCCATGTAAGTATCAATGTTGAATTCATCTTTTTCCGATTGATTTTCCATCTCAGAATGCAAATAGGTCTGGAATTTTACATCATCTGTGATTTTAAGGGATGAACTTTCTTTTAAAGACCTTGCAAATTCCTTCTCGCTTTTTGATTTTCCACTTAAAACTAATACAACAGGTCGTTGGGACTCCATGTTTTCTATAAAAAAGCACGATCCAGTTAGTATACACATATCATAAACACTGGATTCTACAATCTTAGATGATAGCTTTTCATTCCCCTTTGACATCCAGATCTTGGGTGGAGATGCATAAAATCCACATTTGGTCTGATGTCCATCTTCTCTGTTTCCGTTATTGTATTATGGGAATGGGTGTATTTATATTTATGGTATTAGTTGTAAGTTCTAATAGAATTTAAATTAAAAAGTCCACGTTAGATACCATGTCAGCACCACATGGACATAGAGTGGACACTATTTGCCAACTATATGCCACATAGGATGCCTTCTCAGATGGGTTTACCTGTTCAAAAGCTTAAAGCGGAACAAAATATGAAGTTCAATGTTCGGTTTGTATAAGACTACAAGTACATGATGAGTGACCTAGCATGCAATATGGCAATAGTTTGTGGTTGTTATGTTATGTGACATAACCACTTTTTTAATAAGACGATCGATTATTGCCATATTGGTGTAAACATGTGAAAATCTGATGATTATTTTTAGATTTTAGAACGTATATCTTCCAAAGGTTATATAGCAATTTGATAGAAACAAACTTTACTTTTCTATGATAAAGTACCAGGCACCACAGGTACAAGTTAATAATGCTAATGGGGGGTATGGCTATCAAGATACTCGGATGCAGTTGTATTCACCTGTTAATACTCTGGAAGAGCAAACTAGGCAATTGTAAGTGTTCTTTTCAATTTTTTATGTACTTCATATCCCCTCCCCCTCTCTTTCTTTCTCTATAATATAAGAAGAAAATAAAGTATTGATGTGGAGAATCCGTGTGAAGTATAGGATGCCAACTCAGCATGTCTACCGACAGAATGAATGGGATAAAAATTAATGACTAAATTGAAACTTCTAGGGATTTTTACTGTGTACAATTTGAAGATGGTTATTGCAATTCGTTGGTTCCTAATTATGTGGAGGACAAATAAATCCGATATTTTATACCCTTTGGCATGTATTTCACCAAAGGGATGTTATAATAGGAAAAGGAAAGTAATAAATAAATTTAAAAGTACGTGGTTATTTGTTCATGTAACCTTTTTTGATTCAGTAACATGGAGTGCTTATACTCTTATATGTATCTCAGGTTCATTATCCAAGCAATATAGATTTGTCACCAGTGGAAATCCCAAGGTTGGTTTCCTTGTAAACTCCATTCCACTATTGTTATTGTAATCTCGGCCCAATATTATAGGGTTGAACACTAGAAATGGCAACATGATTTCATTTATTTGTGTATTACTTTCATTTCTTTCTATTACAACATTGTACATACTATTTTATTGGTTACTAAGGCTTTATTTCAAGAAGATAGGAAGAGATGTAAGTAGGATGCTATATAGTTAACAAATCAAGGAAAACACATTGTTATTTCTTGTATTTGCTCTAATGATCTATAAATAGAACTAATATGATTTTTTTTTCTTGATGTACTAATAATTTTTAGTTTTTGTTATTTTGATGTTGCAAGGGAGAAGAAGCTTCATTTGTTGGAGAATGGTGCTTCAGTTGAAAAAATTAGCAGCAACTTAGAACATGAAAAACCAAGTGTAGAAGAATCAACTATTTTACCAACAAAAAACAACAATCAGGCTCATGTTAATGAACTGGATTCCTTGATTTGTTTTGATGAAAAACCAGAAACCCCCCTATTCAGATGGAGATTATAAGACAGCCCTCCCCACCTCCTGTTTTAGCTGAAGTCTAAGATTTGATTCCTACAGCATCACCTCCAGTCACTGATGCAGGGCCTGCTTCCTTAAAATTAAATTCCACTGATGGTGTTATTGTTTCTGAATCCCCCCCCCCCCCCCTTGAGTTACACATTGTGAGATATTCCATCTTTTTACTTTTTTTTCACATGATTTTCAATTTATGCAGTCATGTTTCAACATTGGAAAAAGCGATTGCATGTGCATGGCTTTGAGACAATTCCTTATTTGGGTATCACATCTCCCACTTAGATTGCAAAAATTTCTGGAACTTGGTTGTTGTTGTACCCATAAGCCGTGAAGGTATATGAATTTTATTTCCAATTACTCAATGACGACTTGTTGTGTTTCAAATTAGATCTCACTGTTATTACAGTATCACCCATTTGATGATACAGGTGACAAGGGAACGAGCATTGAGAAATTGGGTCTTTGATGAAACTGCTGGAAACATTCATAGGGAGTTTGGATCTGGCTATCCTGGAGGTGAAATAACTATTACTACTTTTTATTATTAAAGTAATTCAACAGCCATGGAATGTGATCATACGAATTTTCCTACTGTATCTATGTGATATTGTGATTATTTCATGAATTTACCTGTCCAAGTGTAAAAAGTTTGGGGTTTTGCTTCATTTTGTGTTTTCTAAGTATATTTTTACACTATTTTTGGATGAAAATACCCCTGCTGTTTGTTTCCTCTATTCTTTATTCTTAAGATGTTTTTGGACAAACAATTTATTGTGTTTTCTAAGCAGATTTCAAGAATGTAAAACAATTTAGGTAATCAGAACTTATGATCTTCATTTGTCTCCTATGTGCTTATATTTTTGTCTAGAACTTAAACTTTTTCATTTTCAACTTTAGGTAATCAGTGTGCGTCCATTTATGACATTCACCAATAGACTTGGTCTAGATATATATTTGAAGCTAGGCAGTGAAGATGAACCGAGAATGTTGCGAGCATCTGATGTATAAGTCTTCTTTGTTTACTGTGAGACTGACCAACCTAGCAAGCTACAGGTGATTAGGGTGTTGGTGTTAATCCAAACCAGGTCAAAGCCATGTATTTTATTCAGGGGCAATTCAGTCTTTTTGTTAGGAGTAATGGAGTATGACCAAGTAAATAGCCACGTTTGGCTCCAGAGAGTTAGTAGGCAGTCTTTCTAGGAAAATTAGTTGCAAGTATCTTATATAAATATCCTTGTAATCGATTGATCAGTGTATAGGAATAAAACATAGAAAAATTGCCCTGCATCTTCTCTCACCCTTTTACTCTGTTTTTGTTGTGTGAAACAGGGCCTGAACCAACATAGGGGTCCTTCGTGTGTGTGTGTGTGTATTTCTTTCATTATACAATTTTTATCTATTTATTATAGTGATATTTTCCTTACGTATTGTTTATCTAATAGATCCGTGATGAAGGCACAAAATGGTCATTTCCTATTCAAATTGAGAAGGAAGACACCATATTTCTTGTTTTGAAGGAGGAAGATGGCACTCCGGAAATTTGAAGGACTGGAATTCGAGGTTATGAAGAGGGATCACGTTTCATTGTTGTACTCCATTGTAGACCAAGATATGGCCCCATTAGGTACACACACATCATATAACTTTGTATATTTATCAAAATGAAGGATAATTCAAGAAGCCCACTTTTATTTATTTCCATGCTTCTGCCTTACTTGTGAAAAAATTGTGCTTGACAGGATTCAAAACAGAACAGTTGGAGAAGTTGTTAGAATTTGGCAGTCTGGTTTGAATAATTGTGTGCATAACAGTAATGAGGTTCTACCATTAAGTATTTCCTTATTCTCCTTTGACATTTTTTTTATATCTTCAAACATATAGCTGTAAAAGAACTAACTTTAATAAGGAAATAAATTAATTGTTGAAGTTTTTGATTGATTAAGTGTCTTGATTGAAACCGGTTGTACATGTTTTGACAAGGAGTTGTTGTATCTATTCAGAGTAGGCTTAGAGCAATGGTTGCAAGAGATGAGTTCAGAAGAAGAAGAAGAAGAAGAAGAAACTAGGTTGCAACTAACATGTTGACTCTTTGTTGACTTATTGTTGTTTTTCGTGCAGAAAGGTGCTTTATGTTCTGATACTAGTATTGGTCAAGGGGTACTATTACATGGAAGGTGCTTCAATACACACTTGCTTACTCCATTGTACACAAACTAAGGAAATATAAAAACACACAACGGAAATTGGAAAGCGAATGAAAATGACAAGTGATTTTGTGTTGTGTTTACAGGGTTGATGAAAGTGAATAGCTCTCGAGTTAGAAGTGGAAAAGAAAGCTCAAGCCGAAAGAGATAAGATGCTGAAAATGCAAGTGTTGTATTCTTCATTTCAATTGTTAGTATGAAACATAGAGTAGATTAGATGAATGCAAATTTATATATTGTAAGAATTAGAATTGTATGACATTAAAGTTTATTCAATGGATTGTATTTTTTTGTATATGGTATTTTATTTCTATTATGACACATTAAATGCAAATTTAATTTAAAAATTAATAAATATATAAATATATATATTTTTTAAATATTTAAATTTACGATACGCAAAAATGTGTGTCATCTTCATTTATGACATGGCTTTCTTGATACACATTGCATGTCATTAACACGCGCGTCGTAAGGTTACGACACGTGAATGTGTGTTGTCTTCCTTTATGACAGGGCCTTCCTTGATATGCATTGCGTGTCGTAAACGCGCGTCGTAATTGCGCGTCGTAAATGAGCGTCGTAAATGCGCGTCGTCTCTCTTTATGACAGGGCCTTCCTTGACGCGCATTTGCGCGTCGTCTGAGCCTTTTACGACGCGCAATGAGCGTCGTAAAAGGCTGTTTTTCTAGTAGTGTTTACGCGCTAGATCGATTGTAGAAGCTTGGATCTATCTTTTGATCAAAGATTGTACATTAGATATCGAGGAATTAGAGTGTGGACGTGACCGACTCGGCGAGTCCATTCCTGGGACTCGACGAGTCCGAGGCTTTGAGTCCCATATATGTTGACGGTCAAAGGAACCTAGTTAAGTGTTAGAAGGGTTGTAACCGGACAGAGAGAGTTACCCAATGCATTGGATGTGATTTTAGACCTAGAGTTCATGGGACCCGACGAGTACTAGAACAGACTCGGCGACTTTAAGGCAATCTTCTTAAGAATGAAGATGAACTTGACGAGTTGTTCATACAACTCAACGAATCGAGGACAGGACTTGTTCATCAAATGAAGGTGGACTCGACGAGTGTTCATACAACTCGGTGAGTCGGATGAGTTTCATGCGATGTTCATATGAGAGAGGAACTCGTCGAGTAGATGCCAAACTCAACGAGTCGAGACGTGGATAAGGACGAGTAAAGGGTGAGGGACTCAGCGAGTTGACAACCCAACTTGGCGAGTCGGGTCAACTTGAAGTTGACTTTGACTGGACTTGGGCTGACCCTGTTTAGGGTTGTACGTGCTATGTGTTGACTTGAAGGTTGTCGTGTAGGGATCGAGGAGTCGTAAGGAGTCGAATTGTGCTCCGAGGATAATTCAAATACTGCACGACATTGAGGTGGGTTACCTTCCAATAGGGGTGGGTCTAAGGCCACAATGCCAGCCCACCAAAAAGGGGTATTTAGAAGATAATGGTCTTTGTGATAATTATCTTGGTCTAGTTATGTGTTGGTTATGCGATTTCTCTAGATGATATGTTATGTGTATAGTAGGGATTAGTTTCCCTAACTGTATGTTTATATTTGTTGATTGTATGCTAGTAGTAAGGGGTGAAATAGTCCCCAGTTACCGGTTGAAAGATACCGATGACGGATACCGGTTGAAAGATACCGATGTTGATTACCGATTGTAGGATACCGATGAAGGTTACTAGTTGAAAGATACCGACGATATTGTATGGTATGTGGTATGATGAGGGAACTCACTAAGCTTTGTGCTTACAGTTTTGGTTTTGTTTTCAGGTACCTCTTCGTCGAAGGGGAAGGAGTCGGCGGTGTAGCAGCGCATCACACACACACACACATGGTTTCCGCAAGGAGTTTTTGGGACTGTACTATGATTTTCATTACTTTTGACGTTATGGTTTGGGATACAACAATATGATTTTGTGACGTGTTGTTTATTTGATAATATTTTGGTAAAAATGTTTATGGAATTGTTAATTCAAAAATGAAATTTTCGGGCTTGAATTTTGGGATGTTACAAGTTGGTATCAGAGCCCTGGTTTGAGGGATTCAGACACACCCTCGTGGGTGTCTGCACTCGAACCGAGGGACTGAAAGATTTTTACAAGAAAAATGGTTTTCTAAAATCTAAATTGAGAAATTCTAGGAAAGACGAAGTGTGTGATGTGTGCGACCGGCCGGGCTCAAGTAAGTTTTTACCAAGATACCCATACTTATTATGTTATGTTATATGGTTTGATTCATAGAACTGTATGCTAGAGTAGGACTAAGGATCTAGGAAGACGCCTTGTACGCCTGATATATGATTCTAAAAAATTGCATGCTAGTTAGGGCTAAGGATCTAGGAAGGATGCCTTATGTGCCTGTTGTATAAGCTGTATGCTAGGAGTGTGTAGCTAACAGTAGGATGACCTGTGTAGGTTATGCCTGGTTTGGTTTCTCAATGCACGAATGTTGCTTGCTTTGTGCTATGGTGGTTTTGGCCAGATCCAACTAACTAAGGAGCAGATATGTAACAGTATCCGCAAGCTAGTTAGGGGGAGGTGGTGGGGACTCCTAGTACAGTTGATGGTGGAGAGTAGGTCAGAGAGTGCCCTAGGGAAGCCTAGGATGAGGTCAGTGGAAAGGGTATTGGTAAAAGGGACTAAGTGAAGTCGAGGCAATCCTTGAGGAGAGTACAGATAGATGTGGAAGGTAGTATGGGCTTGTACTACTGAAAGCAGAGGATCCATACTCGAATCAATGAGGGCCTAGATGGAACCTGGAAACTTGGAAAGTGTGTGAGACCTCTAAAAAGTATACGTGGCCCTGACATTTGTATGTTCTTTTCAGAATGGTGGTCACGCGACATGGAACAAGAGGTTCATGATCTAGGTCAGGATCGGGCTCGGGTGCAGGATCCGAGCATGTGGATGATGGGTTACGCGAGTTCATCGCGTCCGAGATTATGAAAGGAATCCTTGATGCAATGTCGGTTATCTTCGGGTCGATCAAGGAAGGGATCATTAAGCTGATGGAGGATCACCTCAGGGGCGTTCAGGAGTGACTTGGTGGCTAACCAGTCAGGATCACGCACACTATCCTTTAAGGACTTCAGAGGGAGTGGTGCACCATATTTCCATGGGGTGAAAGACCCCATTGCTGCTAGTAGATGGATCGCAGACATCGAGTCCGTGCAGCTGGCGAGCTTCTGCCCAGAAGGGTCGAAGGTCCGTTTCGCTGTAGGGTGTTTGAGAGACAGGGCCAGAGATTGGTGGGAGTCAGTTGGCAACTCACTGGGACCCTCGACTGTTGAGGCTATGACCTGGTCAGACTTTGTGACCAGATTCAGGGCAGAGTTTGTGCTAGCTGTGGAGATTCAGCCGTTGGCCAGGGAGTTCTTGGACATGAGACAGACTACGGAGACTGTGGCGGAGATCACCGCCAAGTTCTAGGAGAGGGCATTGTTGGTGCCCTAGTATGCGGGTGATGAGGACATGAAGAGGACTCGCTACCATGGCATGCTACGAGTTGAAATCCGAAAGCATGTCAGTTTCTCAGCTTGCCCTACACTGGATTCCATGATTTCTAGGGATAGGGAGAGGGAGATTGATCTGGAGCATATCCGGAAGAGGAAGGAATCGGAGGGGTTGACAATGGGGGCTTCGGGGAAGAAGCCCAAGGGATCCGATGGTAGGCCGAAAGACCAGTCAGGGCGGGACCACTGTGGGAAATGCGGTCGGTCACACGATGGAGCTTGTCGCACTGGGCTGGGTTCAGGCTGCTATAAGTGTGCCAAGGTTGGGCATTTTGGTCGAGATTGTACTGTCCCTACTCCTACGACTTAGATATCTAACCTGATTTGCTTTCATTGCAATCAGAAGGGCCATAAAAAGGCCAATTGGCCTAGATTGGCAGCCGCAGCAGCGGCGCTGACTCTAGCGACAACACAGGTTGTGGATGGCCGGAAGGCCAAGTTGAAGGCTCCAGTGGTTTGGAGTCGAGCATTTCAGCTGACAGCCGAGGAGGCACGCGCTACACCCGATGTGGTGACGGGTATGATTTATTATTTTATGCTTTTATGTTATGTCGCTATGATTTTGATATATTATGTTCCTTGCTTTGGATCGTTCCATGTGAACGGTATCCCAGTTCAGGTGTTGTTTGATTCGTCTGCCACTCAATCATTTGTCTCTCTTGTGCTTAGCAAGAAGTTTCCGGAGTCTTCAGGCATGTTGGATTTC